TAGTAGAATTATTAATACTGTATAAAATAACACTTTTTCTTGATGGAATAATGTGCAATGCCTTAAATTCTATTACATATTATTTTTTAAGGAATTAACATGTTGTAACATTTAATACAATTTTGAATCTGTTAGAGTGAAGCTAAAAACAGAATAGATGCAATATTCTAAGTGAATCTGTAAGAAAATTTATTGTATTTTTACAACTTTTTAATTAAATCATTTTTCAGTATAAGCATTCTGTAACAGTAACAATATCTTAGAAAATATAGAGTTGAAATCTTGTGAAACACCTTTGTTTTCCCTCTTCCATGACACAATTATTGTTAAGAATATTAAAACTTGTACTTACATCTTGAATTGAGTTTCATAAGAAATGTGTATGATATTATTTAAGCATTTTACATATACAGTAATGTAACTTGTACAATGTATAAGTTAATATGTTATTAAAAATACTGTTTATTTGAATCTGTATAACATGTGTAAGATAGAACATAAACTTCTGTAATAAAAAAGAATAAATTGTAACATAAGTTATATAGTATTATAATTTCATAACATAGTTATATAAATGTCTGCTTTTATCTAAAAATGTACAATTTATATTTTAAAATCTTAAAGCATTAAAAATAACTGTGTGATTCTCTTTCAATTTTTATATTATCTTTAATGGTTTAATGTTTTTAAGTAAATATCATGAAGTCATTATTGTTATTACACATATGTTTGAATAAAATATTCAGTTCTATATTTTTATAGATGCAGATGAATATGTTATAAAAGCACAGGTGTTAGCTGGTGGTCGTGGGAAAGGATGGTTTGATAATGGTTTCAAGGGAGGTGTACATCTTACAAAGGAGTAAGTGTAAATAGTTAATATGACATATAGTGTGTAAAATTGTGTATGACTTATTATATGTTTCTTAATAGCCGTAAAGCAGTTGTAGATTTTGTGAAAAATATGTTAGGTCATCGTCTTATTACAAAACAGACTTCAAAAGATGGCATATTAGTGCAAAAAATTATGATAGCAGAATCTGTAAATATTGCACGTGAAACATACATTTGTATTCTTATGGATAGACAGCACAATGGCCCTGTATTAATTGCTTCACCAGCAGGTGGTATGGATATTGAGACAGTTGCTGAAAAAACTCCAGAATTAATAAAAACAGTACCTCTTGATATATATTATGGAATTGATGATGAAATTGCTAAAGATGTTAGCACATTTCTTGGTTTTGTGGATCCAGCAATACAACAGAAATCAATGTTTGAATTAAAAAATTTGTGGAAACTATTTGTAGATATTGATGCTTTGCAAGTTGAAATTAATCCATTGGTGGAAACCACAGATAAGCAAGTTATAGCAGTAGATGCAAAGATAACATTTGATGATAATGCTCAATTCAGACAGCAGGATTTGTTTGCTTTAGAGGATAATGATATAAAAGATCCTAGGGAAGCAGATGCATCACGGTTCAATTTGAATTATATTGGAATGGATGGTGATATAGGATGTTTAGGTATGTTATTTGTTACATAATAATAATGTTTTCAGGATTATAACGGAAGAATTTATTTTTTAAATAATAATTGTTCAATTGTTAATTGTTAAAAATTTTCATACATTATGAACTTTATAAGTAGAAATTATAACAAATAATTTGTAATAATAATTTACTGAGAGGTAAACAGAATATTATAATTAATTTCCGCCAATATAGAATATAAAATTATGCTTTTTGTTTAGTTAATGGTGCTGGTTTAGCTATGGCCACTATGGATATAATTAAACTAAATGGTGGGTCTCCAGCAAATTTTTTGGATGTAGGTGGAAGTGTTAAGGAAGATCAGGTTTATCAAGCATTTAGAATTCTCAGTCAAGGTATGTATCATAATAATAATTAAAATAGATGATTAAATTATTTTTGTTGTTAAATACAACATATTTCTTATAATGTATCCAATTTAGCAAGATTAATACTGTTTATGTTATATTGCCATGCAATATACGTAAATTTCATAAATAAATTTCGTACATAAATTTCTAATATTTTTTGTATTTGCAATCACGAAATTAACAAAGTTAAATGATAATTCAAACAAATATTGTTTCTCTTGAATTAAATACATTTATTTTTTATAAAATAATTTAAAATAAAGCAGTTTTGAATGTCTTCTTTGATATCTCTAGATCCAAAAGTAAAAGTTATTCTTGTGAATGTATTTGGAGGCATTGTAAATTGTGGTACAATAGCAAAAGGAATTATAGCAGCATCTCGTAATTTACAGAGGTACTAATGTAACAGAAGCAAAGAAACTTCTTGCAGAAAGCAATTTGTCAATTCTTACAGCAAATAATTTAGATGAAGCTGCAAAAAAAGCAGTCACTTCTGTAGGAACATAAATTTGGCAATTTCATTCTGTATTGAGATTGGGGATTTTTTAAGACTGTGAATGCTGCTTTAAATATAAAGAAATCATATAAAACACGAACGATCCCGTAATTTATAATTTCTGGATATCAAGTTATCAAAGATAATTTTTCATTTCTTTTTTGAAATATCATTAATCAGTTTATTTTATTATTATTCACTATAGTTATGTTTTGGTTCTTTTATACTTCATTTCCTATATTTGCAAAGCTGTATTTAATTTAATCAATGTTTGAATTGCATTGTTGGAAATTAGATTCGAAATATTTGTTTGTTAACAACAAAAGCATTGTTTTCAATTTATTGTTGCTTTTCTATTATAATTCTTTTTATTACATTTTTATGTAATAAATGGTCCTATAAAAATATTCATTCATAATTGTATGCATTTATGTATCTTAAACAAAAGAATAGTGCAACATCTTTGTATATGTATGTAAAGAAGTAAACCTATGATATATTGTTTTATAATTTTGTAAGAAAATTATTAAACATAATTTGAATGATTGTTATGTGTCTATTTTATTTTATTTTCCTTCATAATTTGTGCTGTGTTAGATCAAAAATTGTGCTTGCAAAATAAGGAGTATTTTATTCTTTCTAGCAAGAAAAATTAAAATTGAATAGTATATCTAGAAAATTGTGATATCATAAAGTTAATTTTAGATTTTATTGGTATTATTTTGTCATGAATTATATATATACTGAAAATAAACATTTTAAAGTTCTGTTTTGATACTTGAATATTTTTTTATGTATCTTCTAGACTGTAATTGAGCTTTTATAAAAACAAAACATCTTTTATACAATATTTACATAATTTTATGTTAAAATATGTTATTCCTTAAAATTTCAAAAACTGGTTTATCTGTTTAATAAAAATGAGAAACATTTAATATAAAAATTGGAATAGTTACATATTTTAAAAAATATATGAAGTGTTTAAAGTCAAAATTAACATAAACATTATAATCACAATCCAGATTATAATCACTAGATTATCATCTGTTTTAAAAAGACCCGGCACCGGTCAGTCGCATCAGTTTTTTTTTGTGATGGCACTGCTAGTGCTAAACATTTCACCACATAAAAGATTGAAAAATTTAAATTAATTTTGATATCATATACCCTATACTGTAAATACTTGCCTTTTAGAGATGATTCTATATTAATTATCTTTAACGAACTTGCTGTACTTTAGCTACACAGAGATATAATGAAACGAAAATTAAGTAACGATTAGTTATAAACACCTACAAATCCTTGAGATCCAGTAATTCACTATATACCGGTCACCATAAAGTAGGTCAGTAGATGAGGTTACAAAGTGACAAATTCTGCATTATTGTTTTCGACGATGCCCATGGTCTATCCTATAGTTATTGGCATACGACGAATTACGGGGTTATAGGGTTTTTGTATATGATGTTTTAAATCGTTACAACATAAAAGAACGAAGGCTTAATTGAAATTTTGTTACTCTTAATTTTTCTCTTGTAACAAATTAGAATAAATTTAAAACAAATTCAATAACATTTAAATAGTTTTTGTACAAAAATGATTTTAATGATTATATTAAGTAAGTTTCCATGCATTTATAAA